TATTTTACATAATGCTATTGAAGTAATCAAATGGCAAAAATACATTGCTTTTTTTTATATTATCTTTCATAGAAGGTCATTATAAGCATGTTACGATTGAAGTTTTGAATTTTCTGAGAAAGTTATGCAGAATTTAGTATAAGTAACACTGTTTCTGGTCGAAAAATTTTCACTAATAATTCTATAATAAGAACAATAATTTATCATGTGAATGTAACCAAGAACTTCTTCGAGACTGTCATCCCGTAAAATGCATGTACGGATTTCATCAGAAAGAGTTCTAAGATGTTTGTATATGATTTATCAAGAAAAAGCTTTCAAATTAATATTTATAGAAAATATATGTCACATTTTTGCTAAGATTCATGATGTAATATATTTTTATTTATTGTTGTAGGTTAAAGGAAAATGTTGTTTTTTTCCATTTCAACTCCTTCTCTAATGATTTCCTTTTTCAAAGTGAAAATCAAGCTTATAGAAAAGAGCCGATGAAATCAAAATATAAATTGCTAAGCCATTTGCTATAATCAAAGATTCATAGTTAAAATTTAAAAAAAAGTTATTATTATATATTTTACTCGTTGCTTTATACTTTGAATTGACAATGTGGATCATAGTTTATAGATACGCACCATTAGTAGATGTTAGAAATATTTATTCCAAACTCAAACTAATGTAGAATATGGTTCATTCAATCTCGAATACATGACAATCCATAAATTTAACTATTTTCCGATCATAAGTAATTTCTTTGCCATTGAATACTTTTTCTAAAGTTTCAAAATGATTAAAAACGATGAACTTAAATCAATAACCGTGTTTTATGTATCAAATACATATATAGTCGAAAAATTTCGTTAGATACATTTTCAAAAAGTTAAACTATTAGATTTATCTTGAAGACACGAAAAGACTTCTTGATAATATTAGAATAATATTTACTGATGTGGAATTTTTGTATATAAGAACACTTCATAAGTCAAATAGGTTTTCCATGCATTTGCATGATCATGTGCAAACAATATAAACTACGCTTTTTGTTAAATGAAATACATTGTAATTAAAAATAATTATCAAGCTTGAAAGATAATTTAGGAATTATTTTCAAGATGAAACAATCATTTTCTTAAATATTCTTCTTCAAAAGTATTTTATCAAGAACCTTTAGTTTTAAGAAACTTTTCATCAGAACCTTTTTTTTCACGTTTCTGGGTACAATGATAGAGAAACATGAATGTCTATTTTTAAGGAATCCTAAGAAAAACAATTTACAAATTGAAAAATAGTAACGTGATTCCAATGGAATAGACCAGATCGACTAGTTCAAAAAAAAATTTTAACTTATTCAATATCGAACAAACTACATATTTGTAAGATTCGATTGTTTTATTTAATTTTTCAACTAATATTGTATAGTCATAGTGAACCGACCTTGAACAAATCGATCAACATACAGTAATGTTGTCCTAACAGTTAATTAGACTCATATGTCCATAGATTGATGACACTCCATGGTCGTTAGATTTTCAATTCACTTTTATAAAACATGATAGAAAATAATATTCCACTGTTAAAAATAGTATGTTATGTGACAGCTGTCTATAAATTTGAATGAGAAATACATGAATAATCATCATTAAATATTTCTTCACCTATGTGTCTAGTAAAAAATTAGATTCGTTTTTTATTCTTATTTTGTTTCTCTACCATATCAGTCTTCATCAAACGAAAAGAGCGAATACGAGAGCATTACTCATTTTTTTTTGTAATAAACAAAGAAAACACCTGCTCCTTCATCAATTAGAAAAAAAAAGGTAGTGCACATTCATATATATCTTCAAACAAGTCAAGTCATTTGATTTTTCGCTTCATCGACTATAAAATGGCTACTGGTATGCTCGAAGTGATTGTTGTCGAGGGACGTGGTTTAAAAGATAAAGATACTGTGGGCCAAAGTGATCCTTTTGTTGAAGTTTATGTTAAAAAACATTCTAAACAACGCACACCATCACTCCAAAATACACATGATCCAGTATGGAATGAACGACTTGTATTCAATATACATCCAGATGATGATACGATTCATTTTGATGTTTATGATGCTGATGTTAACGATAAAGATTTAATTGGACAGGCTAAAGTGAAACTTAGTAAGGTATTTGATGATGGAAAATTCGATGAATGGATCAAGTTGTCTGCTCATTTCGGTTTATCTATTCATGGAGAAATTCATATAATCATGAATTTTACAGTGAGTAATTTTTGAAAAATTTCCAGAAAGTTCTTAGTCAATACAATTTCATTTATATTCTAGCCATCATAAACTTCAATTGACAAGTTCAAATTAACAACAACAAATATCAATTTCTATCTAATATTTTTTTTTTTTGGATTCTGTTTTTCTTTAATTCAACATTGATTGTAATACTAACAAAACTTAGGCATCATTAATAAAAGTATATATTTCTCTAATCAATCTAGACAAGCATATTATTTTTTATTTTTGAAAATAAAAACATTCAATAACGTAAAATAGCGTCAATAAGCATAGTTTAATATTTGCAAAAACAAAAGCAGTAAGACAATACATATAAATAGTTTATATAGGTAATCTATTTTCTTATTATTTGTTAATGGGAGCAATTTCTTTGTCAGAGGATACATTATCGGGAGATACTGCTTTTTTT